AAAATGGAACTTATGTACTGTTTTAGCTTATCTCAGTTGTTCTATAATAATGACAGTCACATTATGATAGTTTTCTTCTAATGGTTAATTCTTTAATTGTTAATAACTAAAAGTAGATGAACAGTTTGTTTGTTGGTGTTATTTTGCTATGTTGGGGATTGTTTTTTAATTGGGAAACAAAGAGGATATTTTAGATTGGGAATTATGCCTGATCCTGGCTAGTGGTGATAGGACAAAAAAGCTTTGTATTATAAGTGACCAAATATTTTGAGTGGATGTCAAAATGTAAATTTGTTTACATTTTGCTATATCTAAGGTAAATAATGTATTACACTTCAAGCACATAATTATCTCTTTCCAAGTAATTTGCTAACAAGCACTAAATCCATTCTTACATTACCAAACAAATTTTGCACTTTTTTGAAACAAATATTTGTTTTAATATCTGAGGAATATGCTTTTAAAGTAAATAAGATAATGGTAAAAAGAAGTCGCTACAATAAAGATCTTTTTGAATATTAAAGGATTATCTTAAATATTTTAAAATATTTAAAGTGACATTATGCCCATCCAAGAGTATATAGTGAGTGAACTGATAAAGATCAAAATAAGTTTTCATTTTGCCATAATACCTTTTAATTTAAACATTAAGTACACATAAACAATAAATAACACACAGATCCAAACAAAATTTCTGTAAATATCCATTAGAACTTACCCATAACACTTAGTTAACAAGAGGGTCATGATGGTCCTAAAGTCGCTCACCTGTATATAGGCCCCCTGAGCGGGGCCAGTTTAAACCCCAGGGCTTTTATTTGAACAAACTTGGTAGACACGCATTAGAAAATGTTTCATGCTAAACATCTAAGGTCTAGCTTGTTGGGTATTTTAAAAGAAGTTTTTTTTCTTTACACATATAGTTAATAACAATAACACACCTGGGACAGGGCCAGTTTTGACCCCAGGGCTTTTATTTGAACAATCTTTGTAGACACTTACTAGAAAATGTTTCATGCTTAACATCTGAACTCTAGCTATTCAGGTTTTTTCAAAGAAGATTTTTAAGTTTTTGCTATACACATATAAGGAAAATCAATGTCCCCTGGGACGGGGCCAATTTTGACCCCAGGGCTTTTATTTTGACAAACTTTGTAGACACTCACTAGAAGATGCTTCGTGCTTAATATCTAAACTCTAGCTATTCGAGATTTTTCAAAGAAGATTTTGTAAGTTTTTGTCATACACATATAAGGAAAATGATGACCCCGGGGCGGGGCCAATTTTGACCCCAGGGCTTTTATTTCAACAAACTTGGTAGACAATCACTAGAAGATGTTTCATGCTTAGTATCTAAACTCTAGCTATTTGTTGTTTTTTTTTGTTTCAAAAAAGATCTTTTAAGTTTTTGTTATAAACATATAAGTAAAATGAATGACCCCCGGGGCCGGGCCAATTTTGACCCCAGGGCTCTTATTTGAACGACCTTGGTAGACATCCATTAGAACATGTTTCATGCTAAATATCTTAGCTCTAGCTCTTTGCATTCTTTAAAAGAATTTTTTTAAGTTTTTACTATATGCATATAGGGAAAATCAATGACCCCCTGGGGCGGGGCCAATTTTGACCCCAGGGCTTTTATTTGAACAAACTTGGTAGACACCCATTAGAAGCTCTTTCATGCTAAATATCTTAGCTCTAGCTCTTTGGGTTCTTTAAAAGAAGATTTTTTAAGTTTTTACTATATATATGCATATAGGGAAAATCAATGACCCCCTCGGGCAGGGCGAATTTTGATCCAAGGGCTTTTATTTGAACAAACTTGGTAGACACTCACTAGAAGATGTTTCATGCCAAATATCTAAGCTCTAGCTCTTTGGGTTTTTAGAAGAAGATATTTAAAGTTTTTTCTTTTGGTTGCCATGGCAACAGAGTTCTGCATGGAATGGAATTCTTTGAACAACTTTGTTAAGGCTTCAAACAAGGAACATCCCTGTGAAGTTTCATTATGATTTGCCTTATGCTTTCAGAGGTGATGTCGTTTTAAAAGTGTGAACGGACAACGGACGACGTACGACGGACGAAGAGTGATCCTAATAGCTCATCCTGAGCATATGCTCAGGTGAGCTAATAAAAAGAGTGGGGCAGTCTTTTTAAATTTTAGGCAGATTTTAATTTTATCCTAAACATTTTCCAATATCAACTGTTGGTCAAACACCATTTTGACGGTAAATCTTTTGAAAAATAAAGTCGATTCAGCTCAACTTGACTATGAAAATATGAGCATAATGTCACTTTAATTATTGACGACAGCTTCTTATTTATGTATTTGTCAGTATCTTCTTTTGGCCCTATATTTAACAAACATTCTTATTGTATAGTCATCTTGTTTTTTGTTTGGCCATAGCAGTTTGTTTAATGACGCTACTAGATATTCGCACCACTTCTTGATTTTATGTTTGTATTATAACATCACTGTTCTTAAACATTAAATATGTGAAAAAAAAAGAAAAAAAAAATAATTAGTATAGTTCCAGTAGTGTGTCTCAAACCTGTACCCAAAAATATAAATTTATTACAAATAATATAGATCACTCGATTACCTGACTTCACCATTTTAGCTTACATATAAGTTGTTCAGCACACATCAATAAAGATTCTCAATCAAAGGTTTAGTATCAAATCCTCTGTCCCTTACTTCATTAGTCTATTTTATTGATTTAATCATATTGATTTTTTTATGTTTTAGATATATTATGTTTATTATGTTTATGTAAATATCTAAAACATCAAAAAATCAAATTTTTGCTCATAGTAAAGAAAATTAATAATTATGTAAAAACAAAACTGGTTTAAATAAAATTTGTAACCCTATGAAAATATAAAGACATAGTGTATAAGCTGAGGGAAGTAAAAGTAAGATATACATGTATTTAAAAAAATGGCAAGTTCATTTTTTCCAGAGCATGAAGAATTCATGGTATTTTATATCATAATTTATCTTAGCTACTGACCTACTTTTTACCAGTGCAGATTTAAACAACATACTAAACAGAGATGCATCTAGCCATAGAGCTACTGACACACTTTTAACCAGCTACAAGCCAAATATCCAAGTATCCGGTACTTTCCGTACATAGCTCTGGGGAGTGTAATAATGAACTTTTATGGTTTTGGCCTTTCTTGAATTAAAGTGAAATAAAAAAGTTATTTCTTTGTAAGATTATATAATTAAATATCATTGTACTGTATGTGAATAATTCCATACAAAAAGTAAAGTAAATACACACATTTACGCAGAAAATATCTCTATTTATTATTGAAGATGTCACAATGACTGTTTTAATTTAATTGATTTTCATTATAAACATTTTTTTTTGAAAATATGCACCTGATATTTTTCATCTGAAACGGTAAAATAATGAAGAAAAATAGAAATATCATGTAAGTGTGTTATGTACTTCATTTGGTACACAGCTAAATCCATAACGTACCGGAAAACGGTATTTAGCTAGGTTTTCGAAAAGGTCCAATCCAATACACTTAAAAACTTTCTCAAGGCTTTACTTAACAGAATGGGATGCTTTAATTATAATCAGGAACCTAGATCAAATAATATATGAAATAAAGGTCGCTGTTTAATTGCCGCAGATAGTCAGAATACTAGATTTACAATGGCCCTGTACCTACTGCTGTAATCGGGACATTTCTTTTTTCAACAAAATTGAGAAAAAGAAAAATTGTTTCCTACTTAACGTCCACAAAAAGGTTTCAATAAAGTAGAAATTATTCTAAACAGCGTGCAGTTACATTTAATTATTGACTTATTAATGTATCATACATACCATCTGTAACTGATCCTCAACTTCATCCTTTTCGGTCATCGCCTCAATTAAAACATCTTGTTTCTCCCGCCAAATATAGCGCGGTTCAGATAAATTGTAAATAATAAGTCATAATCTTTAAATAATAAGTTATAAGTTATAGATAATAGGTAATAAGTAATAAATTTTAAGTACTAAATTTTAAATAATAAATGTCCCTCCAGGGCTTCCGTATCTTAGATTATTATGTAACTAAAAATATTCGACTGTAATAAGAAGTAAATTGATAACTAGTAAGTTATAAATAATAAGTAATAGATAATAATTGATAATTATGTTAAACATATTCAGTAATAAATAATAAGTAATAAATAATAATCTTCCTTCCAGGGCTTCCGTAATATATGACCTTCTATAAATGATATTCTCCGCCATCTTTTCCGGTAATTGTCTTGATGTAAACGGATTTTTCGTGCCAACCATGCCGTTGTTCAATACTAAATATAAGTAATAGTATGTAAATAATTATTAATAAGTTATAAAAATAGGTAATAAGTTATAATTTTTAAATAATAAATGTCCCTCCAGGGCTTCCGTAAATATGATCAATCCGTATTAACGTTTTATTTCAGATATACAAATTAAAAGGTATTTCTTGAGAATTATTTTCAAAATAAAAATGAATGTTTTGGATCGGTTCAGATCAAGCTTTTATGAAAAAATTATTGCCTTTTTGTTCAATATCTTTGTTTAGTTTCTTTAACTGTTTTTTCTATTATTACTGTATACACAGTCTAAATAAGTCATTAATGAAATGAGATATGATGCTTTATTTTGTATATAGATTCTTACAAAATGTACTTTGAAGTGTACTCATTAAACGTGTGTGAACATTTGATAGTATGTAATTTAGAATGTGAATATGAATTGAATCAATACGTTAATTTATTTTTTTTAACACAGCTTATTTGTTTCATAACTATATGATTCAAAATTCTAAAATGCAAATAAAATGGATTTCATGTTCTGGCAAATTATATAGTGTAAGTATGTTATAGTGCAATGTACTTTGGCATTTCTTTGCACAAAAATACATACCAAATAAATTAAAATGTAAAGTTCTAAATTCAATACAAAGAAAGACGGTGGTATAGTTTCAGGATTGAAATTTAACAATTTTGAACAAAATACACTTTTATTGAATATGCAAAGAAACAGAAAGGTGTGAACTATATTTAAACTTCTTAGAGAATTGTTTTGGAATATTCCTTACAGAATATAAAAAACATTGTAGCCTCTTACATACATCTGTTTGAAATACAATAATTCAAAAATGAATTTATAATCATATTATATTATAAGGATTTCATTAGAAAGTCATTAATAGTGAAACGGTAAAATTATGGATAATATAGGTAAATGTATTTAATAGGGTCACAGCCATTAACGAAATAAACTGAAGAAACGAATCCAAAAAAAAGAGGTCGCTTATCAAAAGCCCCATTTCCAGTGCTTGGAAATCATCAAAGAATTTGTAACCTTAAGAATTTTGCTCGGCAAATTTTAACATTTCTTTAAAGGGATTCCACTGTGGTCTAAAAGCCTAAAAACCTAACATTTGAATTTTTTACATAAATGAGCTGGGGCACGTTAAACAAACATATATGCAAAGATAGTTAAGAAATATACTTTGAAATAAATTGAAAATCGTATTTTTATGCTTTTCTTAGCCCGATTTGAGTGAAAAGCGCTTTTCATTTTGGGTCATTGTTTTACAATTTGAATAATTATTCTGGAAAAACGAAGTGCGCGAATGAAATTTTGCACAAAAATTAGTGGTCTAAACCTACTTCAAATGGTACATTTATCTGGAAAAAATATGTTCAGTCCCTTCATGTCAAAAAACCTCAGTGGAGTCCCTTTAAACCTTGAAAATCCATATGTTTCAAAATACAGATGTAGCTGCTGTTTAGTGTTCTTAAATTATTGTAATTACATTGAATTTCTTATTTGCCTCCTAAAGAACGTCCAAAACGGCAAAATTGAAAGTGATACAGGCTTGGTTGAATTGAGCCTGTTCATGGACGGTACTGGTACCGGCTTCAGCATAATTCAATATTTAGGAATAAAAATGGTATTTTTTTAATTTAAAACATCCGTAGATGCGTCCACACAGCGGTTATTATGGAACCTGTAAGGTCCGATCACGAGTCTCTTAGTTTTCTGATTTAAGTTTTTCCATCCCTTTTTCTTCGTCCTCTTTTTTATCCAACATATGGTCCAGAAAATCTTCGGCAAAATTCAAAATTTGGCGCAAAGCCAACAATGCCAGTATACTAATGCTTTCATCGAGCTCTACTTCATTGTGGTAATTCTTTACGGGAAGAACGTTTGCAGGTGGTAGTCCGAGGAGTTGCGAGGCCTTTTCCACGTGTTGCTCCACTTCCGGACTCTTAAAGACCAATGACACATCTTCTCCGACTTCTTTACAGAGTTTATCTACCTTTGTAAGAAGGATAAGTTGTGGTATTTCTGAAACAGTGATTATCATTACTATGATTATCATATATAAATAAAAGTAATCGGATTTAAAATAATTTTATGACACATACAGTCTGAACTTTGGGATGATGGTGTTTAAATTTTGGCAACTATTCTGCAAAATTATTAAATTCTGAACATTTAGCCATTCTGTATGACTAATATGCCTTCTTTTTTTATTGCCTTTGACGACCTAACGGGATATTACATGTACGTGCGGCCGTACAAATTGTCATTATGTACTAATTAATATGTTGCTGAAGTTGGAGCGCACATGAGCCTCGGACCCATTCACAGAAGACTCTTTCCTGGCAGCAGACAAATTTTAATCAGAAATAAATGGAGAAAGACATTTATTTCAAAAGATGTGTAAAGCATCACTCATTCTTAGAAATGTGAAAACATTTCATTTGTGTTTAGAAACCACCAAACATGCCAGCCGATACCCCTTGGGCAAAAAGAATTAAAGGTACTCAAAAAAGCAATGTTACTTTGGTTTTCACCTTATCTCTTATTTTGTCGAGCCATTGTGGTGAATGTATGGTGTGTATATGTCTGGTTGTTTTTTATCGAATGAGATAAATATAGATGTTTTGTACGGTGCACACGTATTGCTTTATCAGTTCGGGGTTGTATTAAGCTTATTTACCGAGTTCTAATAGTTCTTCTCGTACAAGAAATAATGCATGGAATGGTACCCTATGTCTTCCTCCACTTATAAAGTTATATATACGTCAGCGTATGTTCAAGGTAGTTTCCCAGCCTCATAAATCTCATCAAAAATAGCAAATACCTTTCTGATTCATTATCCTTTGAAATGCTTTCATTTTTTCTATAATTTTTGGTGTCAAGATCTCCAATGTGCTGGCGTCCAAAACGAAAACTGCACAGTGTATGACGTCATTCGCGGTAGGATTTGCATTGAAACCAGGCGATTTTAGTGTTATCTGTATGGTTGGATGAAACTTAAAACAGAAACTATCAAATAAAATATAAACACAACAAAATATAGATACTACTCAACCTTTTCTAAGCACCATATGTTTAAGTGTGAATTATTTTGGGATAAGAATTTTAATGTTGATTTATTGTTTTATCAATTCAGTTTAAGGGCGAATTTAACCCTATAAATGAGTTTTACACCATTTTCGTGCTGGAGAAGAGGATGTCCCCCCCCCTTTTTTTTTTAAAGATTTCAGAACATGCAGCGTGTTTTCCAAATTTGTAAAATTGTTTTGTTTTGTTTACAGTTTTAGATTAATGCCGTGTGTGTGACCCATGACTATCAATGGCAGCTTGGCAGTGCGTTCTCATAATACCTAATTGGTTTCTGATCGTTCTAACGGGTATGGATGTCTATTCTTGGACCAACATGACTGCAGGCTCCTGGATGGTTCCTGGGTTGCAGCTGACGAGCTGAAATTCTAACCAGCACACCATTCTACATGTGTTCTATTGGATTTAAGTGAGGTTAGCGAGCTGGCCAGTTCATACGCTCAATAGACTCGCTCTCTAGGTAGTCCTGGACCACCCTGGCCCTATGGGCGCGAGTCTATATGAATAAACTGATCGCCGACTGTTCCAGCATACAACCTAACCTGGTTGTCTAAGATGTCGTCTATGTTTCACTGACCTGTCAGTTGCCTCTATTTAGCACAACCAGGTTGGTTCGTCCATCCCAGCTGATGCCTCCCCACATATTTACTGGCCCACTTCCGTAACGGCCATACTGAGCAATATTTGCATCCTGAAACCGTTCTCCTCGTCTTCTCCAGACTCCAGCACGCCTATCTGAGAAGTCTAGACAGAATCTGGATTCATCAGTGAACAGAACGTATCTCCAGTGTTGCATGGTTGCATGGTTCACCATGACTTCACGGTCCATTCCAAACGGGCCTGGTGATGTCGACGCGTCAAAGGGATACGTATGCAAGGTCTTCTCGACCGCAAATTACCTTCATGCAGCCTTCTACGTACCGTCTGCATGGAATCACGGATCCCCGCAGCATTACCAAGGTCATTTCGAAATTTTGTGGTCGAAAACCAAACACGACGTGACTGAATGTCTAAAAACCGATCTTGGTGTACACAATTGCCGCAGTAACCTGGTGGAAGGTGGCCCCCTGCTGCACCATCCCTACAGCCCTCCACAACTATGCTTCTCTCAAATGCCGCCTAATGTTAGCATTCGCAATATCGAGGTGACAGATCTAAGAAATGTAAGCCATTGAATGACAATAAGCCGGATATGTCGCCTTATAACAAAAGACATGTGATTGTACACCCCATCAAAAACATAAAAATATTGGAGTGCATGCTTTCCATGCTACCTAGAAGAGTTGTAACGGATAAGTCAACACGGATTCATGTCAGTGGACTATCTCAAAACATTGCTGAATCAGAATTTTCAAACATTGGAAAGAAATCTGTTTTATACTTGTGATAATATAAAAATTATTTTATGGTGCTTAGCAAAAGTTGAGTAGTATATGAAGGGTACTACTTTAATTATGTTTTTCATTATAATACTTGATGTTTCAAAGTAATTCTAAACATTGTCTTGAAATCATGGCATAACATTCTAGTTTAATTAAATCACCTTTGCTACTTTTGAAAATTAGAATTTTTAATCTGGCCACCAAGTTTATTTTAATTTCAATTGTGTAATGAGTCGTTGTTGCATTATCAGTTTTGCAAGAATTATTAAATTAAATTCTATATATTTCTATACAAGTTGAAGTTCTTTTTGCATACCTGATAATAATTTGGCATATTACCATCCAGCAAATAGTTACACTCGACTACATCCAGACCCTGGGACTCTTCTAAACCACGTGTGTCACATAACCGGAAGTTCAGTGGTGCCCCCGACTTGACCTTTACCTTGTATGGGGTGTACTGAAGCAAGATTCTCGTAAAATTCATTTGAGAAAAGAAATATACTAAAAATAAAAATATGGCGACCACAGCAAGCAAAACAGAATGCATTTTAATTAGGTCAAAGAATGATATTTTCCGATATAATGTTTGATTGTATATATATAACAAATAGGTGTGTGAGTAACAGTAAAATATCATTCCGAGGAAAATACTGTTACCCGAGGCTTTAGCCGAGGTTACAGTATATGTACGAGGAATGATATTTTTTATTAGTCCTGATTATTGACACCTGATTATGCTTAGCATATTCAATTCAATTCTTTATTAATATGATTCAGGCCACCAGCCCATACATCACAAGTTCCAAGTGTTATTTATTTTTTACCTCGAACAAATACTTCATTGACACACTATTTCTAGGGGTTTTTATTTTTCAGATTTTTACTATATTATACAAATAAATTAATTGTTATCTATGTAACAGTGCAAATATTAAAGCACACTTGAATTAACAGAAAGAATATCTCACAATGGACTTTTTAAAATTAATATCTCAAAAATAGTGAGGAGGAATAATGAAGAATGGTGTATGTGGATAATACATAAATATGACCTTCACATAGTGTATATATGTCTAAAGATGAATTGAGTCGATTTAGGTTCAAAGTTTATTCAAGACTTTCACTTTATTTATAGGTATAAAAAGAAAGAGTGATACTTCGTTTTCAAAATGTACATCTACTTATTAATGCCTTTTTCTAATGATTACGCATAGACGACTTCGTTAAGGATTTGTAATCCAAATATTTTTAATACTCACAGCAGTCGTAAGGCTTTGCTCTGCGCTACCACTACGCGCCTTCTGTGTAATTCGACCTCGAAATATCGAATTGATAGTGTTGAAAAAACTCGACTTTCCAGCACCAACTGGACCAATGATCAAAATTCGGGCATCTGTCACCTTCAAGTCAGGGATTGGTTTAAAAGATACAATATCCTCAGTTAGTTCATTTAGATACTGAAAGAAAAACAATCGTGTTGTCGAAACAGTATAATACCTACATAAAATCATACAGTAACGGTTTCGAGATACTTTACTATAAGCAGTTTAGCAACTTTGCCAAATGAAATGATGTCTATTTAAGAGTTTAGTAGATATAATTTTTTAAAAGTGAAATTCTTCATTACGTTAATCGATCATGGATAAACAATTTTCTTTGTTTAATTAATTTAAGTTATTTTTTTATATATTATTATTGGGCGGCATGGCCGAGTTGTTAATGCGTTGGACTACTATCTAATGATCGCTAGCCGGATGATTTTAAACCCCGCATGGGGCAAGTCGTTGTTTTCTTGAGCAACTTTACACTAATTGCTCAGTACTGGTTGGTTCCAAGAACGGATTCAAAAAGTGTGTCTTTAACCTTACAACTTCCTACACAATCGAAATAAAATAAAACAAACCGAATCAAGTTTTTTTTTATCTATATTTAAAGCTGTATGAGTAAATATTTCAATAAAATCAAACTTGAAAAATATGTACTAAGATTTTAGGAAAACTAAAATGATTCAAGATTCAAGTAATATTTTACATGTTATGTGCAATTAATGACTGATTTTTCAGTATTTACAACTATATTTCTACCGCGTTACTAACGCAGTAAGGGCTATTTATGTATATTTTGACCACTTTTTGGTAATTTACGTCGGTTGAAAGTGTCATTGATAATGTGTAAATTGCTTCCTTTTAGTTATTTCACAATATTTTTCTTTCAAATACATATTCAAAATTTTCATGAAAATTAGCATTAATCTGGAGGCGTACTGCTTTAAAAGAATAACCTTGTTAAGGCTAACATGTATTAGAGTATATTTTGTTCTTTAGATAATATAAAAACTCCAATATGACAAGGTACAACAAACGTCTATTTTGATTCATCTCCTTCTATATAAGTTTCAAATACGAAACATCGCTAGTACGCATATTATTGCCTGATACAGGCTGGTAGAAGACCTTAATATAAAACTGATTGTACCGAATACACACATGACGTCACTTGTCCATATAACAGATTAATAAGCTTATAATTTAAAATTACCTGTTCATTCCAGCTTTTAGTCTTTCGCCATGGTTTCAAGTTCTCCTGCTTTATAGGCTTTGACCTCTTCCCATCTTGATATGATAAATGTTATCAGAAATTAAAAGGAGTGAAATATACGAAATATTTAAAACTTAATATATTAATGACTTACAATATCATAATTATCATCATCAGAATCACCATTACACTGCTAATATCACCACATAGATAGTTTATTTGTTACGGAAGAGCATTAGTGCCAGGTGTATGTTTTTTATAAACTCGAAATTTCGAGTTACTAACTCGAAATTTCGACTTACTAACTCGAAATTTCGAGTTACTTATCTCGAAATTTCGAGTTAGTAACTCAAAATTTCGACTTACTAACTCGAAATTTCGACTTACATTGCACGACTTTCATTGGTTGCCGGTGAAAGCAAGGATTGAATTCAAAATACTTTCTTTCGTGTGTAGCTGTTGCACATTGACAGAGAAACTTTAACATTTATTTAACAGAACAATTTTATAGGGTCAAATTGTCCACACATACTGAACATATCCTTCGCTTTTTTGTGGAGGGGGGGGGGGGGGTTGTAAAATCACACTTTCCACATTTCTGTGTTAACCGGGTTTTTCTTTTTCTTAAGCACACATACAACCATCATGTGGAGAAACAACAAGTCCAAAACCCACCCTATTGTAAACTGTGCAATATCATGTGTTAAATAAGTTTTAATTGGCGTGTATACGCCAGTTAGTCTGTCACGTTTCTTTATACTAATAATGTTTTTGTAACATTATTCATTATTTACTAATACTTTGATATTGTGTTGATAAAAGTTGATAAAAGTGATACTTGTTGTTATATATATGTTGGGAATAATATAAAAGCATCCGATTTTACAAGAAATATAGTCAGTCCAACAATTTTGACAAAGGCCTCAGCACGCCCTATTTTGGCCACGCCGCGATACTTTCCTCAGATGTCCCACACGTGAAGTTTAGGATCGGTTTTTTACAGGGATGAGAAGAATATGATTAGTGAAAAGATATGTTCGAACAGATGGGATACAATACAATGTCTGAAGAACGCCTGAACGTACAAATTAAAGGAAGCCTTGTTTTTTTTAGGTCGGGTGTGTACACGCCATTACTAAGTTTAAGTTAAATTTCAATAGTTTTTGTCCAGGCACGCGTTTCTCCATCTCCATCGTTCAAAGGCACTGCCTACTATATCTTATAGTTAGTAAGTCGAAATTTCGAGTTAGTAACTCGAAATTTCGAGATTAGTAACTCGAAATTTCGAGATAGGTAACTCAAAATTTCGAGTTAGTAACTCAAAATTTCGAGTTAGTAACTCGAAATTTCGAGTTAATAAAAAACAAACACTTGGCACTAATGCTCTTCCGTAATTTGTTAACCTTAAAATATATTTTTTTTAAAATTAATTAAGAACTTTAATCGAGTTTAGGTGAATTTCTGTGAATTAGAAATATTATCAAATACTGTCTAGTGTTTGATGTAAGTCATTTTTACATATATTTTTATGAAAAAAGCGACAGCTTGAAAAATTATTATGTAAAGAAACAAATTATAAGAAATCGAAAATGTTTAAAATTTGAATATACCTAGCAACCTGTAATTTCAGTTTTCGGAGGTATCAACAGTTTGCATGTATATAAAAAGATAAAACACAGCTTACCTTCGACTTTATAAACCTCTAACTCGGTGACGTTCATGTTACCATTATTAATCTGGTCTGCAGTAACACCTTGATTGTCGTAGTACTTCCCAATTCCCATGCTACCATTGAGAGCAAAGTAGGAACCTGAGTTGTTGACTGTGTTTGTGAAGGTTAGGAGGCCATAACCATTTTCATAACCAAATAATGGACCGTAGGGTGAACCACAATATAGAGCATGCCCAGACTTTCCAGATTTTATCGGAAATTTAGTACGTTTATCATTCCCATTAAATCGTAGCTGATACAGAAAGGCGGAAGTGTCGTTCATCCAGCTGCCACAATTTTTCCAGCTTTCCTGTACATAACCACCATACACCGATCCTTGTGGGTTATACAACAATGTGACTGTAGGTCCCTGGTCGTTACATTTCTGATGGAACGTTGTAGCATTGCATCCATCTCTTGTAATGGCGTAGAGAAGTTTAAATGTTTTATGACCTGTACCTATCCATTGCTCCAGCTGGTCCATATCATTATCTGTTAACTTCCCGTCCATTTTGATAAAATCTGTAGACGAAAATGAGTGTACTGTTAATTAATTAGCACAAGTCATTTATTTTATATTATCAACATTTTTGGAGATGATGTAAGTAAGCATGTCATATTATGTTCCTTCAATACTGCTTTTGTCGAGAGATTGATATAATATATACACATCTATTTTACATATACCTTTCTTATTGTTTTGTTACTTTTCCTTTTCTCCCTTTTTTCTCTCTAAAAATTTTGTGTTTATGAATAGCATGATTCAATGCCATTTAAATCTTCCTTGGGCTCTTAAAAGTGAAGCAATCACAAATTTTGTTTACCCAGATATTTAGTTCACCTTTGTTTTTAATACGGTTTAACTTTTATATAAAATTTGATTTGAATACTTTTGAAATTATTCTGATTCATAAAGTAAGTGTAAAGATGACAACAATTAATGTCAACGTCAACGTAATTCAAAATAGTATTGAGTAAATCACATTTATTATGCATATTACCTCTTCATTTTACTTTATTTGTTTATAATGATACCGTCATTTTAAGTCGAAGAATTCTGAATTTACTTAATGTCATTAATTAAGTAACGAAATTGTATTGACGTTATATTATTACGCATTTTCTCAGATATTTTTGGTTCTGTTCAACGTTCTTCACGAATTTTACATAATGTGCATTGTACGTACATACACCGAAATATACGACAAAAGTGGAGAGTATGTCGAGCTTACCGGAAGCGGGCTCGACAAAAATGATTATTACGTAATTTGTAATCTTGAAAGAGCATTTTTACCGTAATCGGCCAGTGTAAGAGTTTTAATATAATTATTTATTGCATGTCATAACTGTTTTTTTTATTGTTATTTAAAAAACAATAAAGTCAGAAGTAGATCTATAAGCTTGGAAAGTGCACATTTGATTTAACCAAAGTGTTTCGGAAAATATAACAGCAGAATTTAATAGTTTTGGCTTGTAAAAGGGCACATTCCGCTTTTTATCACAGGATAGCAACGGGTACGTTGAAGATATTATTTTAGCTATTAACCCCTAAAAATGATAAGAACATTATTTCTAAACAATCTATTTTCTTCATATACTGTTACAGTTTCAAAAATGTATTCATTGACCAAATAGCTAAACCATCTTTTGCTTCTTTTGCATTATTTTTTTTAATTTAATACAGTTTGAGTGAATGGAAGTCAAAACACCACTTTATTTACATTTAACTACTTAAATTATGACATATTATTACATATCCAGTGTTACTTTCTTCAGGTGAGTTATCGCCCGTGAGGGTAATTGTGCCTTTAAGCGTACCGAATTCAAGCAACATGTTTATAGAACGTCAGTTGTGTTGGTCTGCTTTTTGATCAAACATGTCAGTAAAGATCAGTATTGGAAATAATCTCATAAAATTAACGCCGAGACAAGTGAGTCATATTTTCTACTTTCGCTTTTAAACGCTTATCTTCTTTGGATTTTCGTATAAACTATGTTATTTAAATGAAGAAATGAATAAATTAAACACAGATATGATTAAAAGCAATAAGCATGACTATAAACTGTAAAATAGTTACAAATAGAGTTAAAACGAACTAAAAAGTACAAACCACTTCGTCTGTTATATCCTAACACGATATGCCCTACCAATAAACGATCACTGTACATTATATGTGCAACGTATAATCAATTGAATCAGCGTCCAGAGCATTACATTTCTTATTGATTAATTCCATCATGTAAGATATAATCAAACTTCTTTTTCTCTCTCTGTCTCACTCTTGTAATTAAAAGAATCGCAAAAGAAGACAAAAATACTGTAGAAATAGTGGGTGTATATTATATTTTTAGATAGGAAAATAGGGCTGAAAGTTTGGTCTTGTACTCAAGGTTGTACTCTTGTTCAGCTGTAATGTGTGAATGTATCGCCAAAATAATGCTGTCTCTATAAAACTGTAGCCAAAGCAAAATCAAGTCCTCAAGTAATTTCATCACTGCCCCTTTCGTCAAAAACTTGACTGTGTGACAAGCTAAAATCTTTGTTACAAATTAATGATGTCTCTTGGAACAAATCCGGAGTATCACATTCTCAAGGGTGAATTTTTGTTTGCCTCGTAATTTCAGTTTCGTTTCAATTTAATTAAAATATTTCATCGGTAAAGCAGTCAGTATATTTCGTCTATGTTTTAAATCAAGAGTCGGGTATAAAGTGATCGATATTCAGTATCGAATACTTATTTATTGACCTAATTACAGAACGTTAAAATTTTCATTTTCCAAAAATCGCTAAAATTTTCATTTTCCAAAAATCGCATATCTATGGTGGCTGATTTACGCCATTCGTATTCTCGCTTCTTCGCTTCAAAACCGAAAATGTGAAAACACGAAAAGACATCAAAGTTGGACTGTGTCGCCTCTTCATGTTTTCGGATTTTCGAGGCAAAAAAGCGAATATACAACTGAAGGAGAGCAAAAATACGACACGTAAATAATATATTATGTCGCATATTCGTACTCCATCTGTCATATTTTCGCTTTTTTGTGTTCTAAATACAAAAATGCGAAAACACAAAGAGACGACAAAATATAACTTAGTCGTCTCCTCGCATTTTCGCTTTTTCGCATTGTTACATTTTCGCATTGTTGCATTTTAGCATTGTTACATTTTCGCATTCATACATTTTTGCATTGTTGCATTTTCGCTTTAGGGCATTGTTACATTTTCGCTTTGTAATATTTTTCGCATTTTCGCGATCCGGTTGTACATGCGCATGGAGACATCAATCTGAAAATACCTAAATGTTTCATTTGATGACATTTTTATACCATTAGTTTATTGTTTCCCTTCTTGTTTTAAAGCGTTAAGTACCGTGAACTAAGAGAAGTACATTATAATACAATATTATCTAAATACAATATACTTATTGATTTCTTTATGAATTTTAATTGTTTTCCTTTTTATTGATATCCGTGCAATATGTGAAAGATGGCAAACAGAATGACCGTCAAAGAGCTTTGTTTTACACATATTGTAATAATGAATAAAAATAATTTTAGATATTATTAAATGAATTTTAAATGCAATAAAGGCAACCGAAGAAGGCTGAATGACCGGCAACTATGGCGACCAAATGTTTTAATATGTTTTTTTATTAATTTAATCATCAAACTTTTTTTCAAACTTAATCCAACATACACTCTAGTACTAGAATTAATAAACAATTATTGACGAGTGAGCCATTGAATATGATGCAATATTCACCGGTTAATGTCAAAATTGTGGAAATTGATTACTAGTTGATAAGCTGACTTACTTAACCATATATAATGGGGCATTATTTAATTTAAATCACAACACTGTGTGCATTATTGTTATTAGGAACTGTCCTTTATCCAATAATATAATACAATTATCAGGTATGCTCGAATGAATAGTAACAATACTTTGTTTCTCTGTCTTCCTTTTAGACATTCAGTACTTTTGTTTTTGTCTCTGGGTTTCCTTTTTATATGAATATACATGATCATCTCTGTGTTTTACTTTTTCATTTTTTTGTAACCATAGCGACTGTTAGAATTTCGCATAGCGGGGAATCATTTTATTTACAATATCTCCTTTAAAAGGAACATGTTTATCAGTTAATGATAAATGTTGAATTATGCTTAAGCTGGTGCTTGCCGATAGCCCCGTATTTCTGGCTGTGTAGGGGGCCGATAGCCCCGTATTTCTGGTTGTGTAGGGGGCCGATAGCCCCGTATTTCTGGTTGTGTAGGGGGCCGATAGCCCCGTATTTCTGGTTGTGTTGGGGGCCGATAGCCCCGTATTTCTGGTTGTGTTGGGGGATGCGTTCATATTATGCCACCCTTTCTTGTTGATCTTTGTTTGCATATCCTAGCATGGTCAATTCTATTAAACTGCTAGTGAAATATGCTGCTGAAAATTAATTTAAAAACATAATTATTCTCAGTTGTGTTTTGGTAACAATTATTTATCCATGAGATACATAATCATAATTAACATTTCAATATTTTACTTTGTGTAATACATTTTGTTTGTATATGATATATGATGCATGAAAACCAAACCAATGGTGTTATTCTTCAACCGTTATCTTCAACATTATATTATCTATTTGTTCAGTGTAACATGTCTTTGGATTACAAAGGAAGTGTTATTTACAATCTGAGATTATTAAAAAAATACTATTGTAACACGAATCAATTACTCAATAAATTATGATATTTTAATCCTTCCCGAATAGGTTCCTTCGAGAATCAGGTCCGTGCATACTAATATTCCATGAATTAATCTTGCGAACCAGTGCATTAAAATCCTTTTACAGAATGCATACAAATCCTTACTTAACATTGTTAACATCTCTTTATATAGCTCGCTTGAAAAGAAAAATGTACGGATTATTTAGTCATTATTGTACTGTTTAGGAAAAGAATTTGAATACACATCCCTTAAACTAATTGATGTTTTAAAGTATCAAGAGGATCTTGAAAAAAGCCTTTACGAAGATTTTATACAGTGTAATGAAGCTATGACGTTTAATATACGTCATCTTGATCCTCAGGCATCAGATCATTGAAAGAAATATTCATAGATAATTCATATCGGCATACAATTAACATTTGTCTTGTTATTCATAGTATCAAATGATAGAAGTTAGTGACATTTTTGGTGCAAAAATGCTATGTAATAGTTATAGTATAGCGACGAGACTGTTATGCGAAATGTATTATGGCCTGTGGCGACATCGAGGGTGTTTCTCTACATTAATTGATTAATTGATTGAAGCCTTAAGGTCGAGAAAACTTTCTGTAGTGGAAACCCGTGATGCAGCCCAAAACCATGATATTTCCATATAACACTCGCGTTCGATATACTATAAATGCTTTATGGCATGGTGAATAGAAATAAGAATTTTGATTAAACTTGAAATCTTAATATAATTATATATTTTCTTTCTTTAAATATAACATTCGGAACCTCGATATGTCTTTATGGTACTGAATTTTGATTTTTTTTATTGTAAACCCCAAAACGTTACAGTCAATTAGAAATATGGAAGATGTTCTCGATTGGTTGGAACCACAGACTCAGAAGAAAAAAACATTGCTGTTAAGAAACTGTTTGATTTTTAATCACAAGGCTAAAGAAGGATTGTAAAATTGATTTGATTCAAAGAAAAAAGTATATACAGACTGTGCCTCATAGCACCAAATAACAGGAAAAGTGATTAAAACGTTAAAGAACAAGTAAAAACTAAACTAATAATTATATATCAGTGAAAACAAACCGAAGAAAAAACTGTTATATATTAGTTGAGTTTTTTGCGATATGGATGAAAGGGAAAAATTAATTTCCTCATTGAAAGTATACTAAACTTCTAAACCATACGATAATTCTTCTTTGCCATATTGAGGGTTTGCAATGTGAACTAAAAATATTTGCACTGTTGTATACTTAACAACTAGATGAAACGCTTATTTACATTATTTTATCTTCTCATGTACAGATACACGAAAATGCAACAGTAACTCATTCCCTTATTAATTAAATCAAATTGCATTAACTGATTACTTATTTTCTCAGAGTCTGGCACGTACTAAATCATTTGTTTTAATTTGATAGACAAGACATAGCGAGGGTGTTTGGAGGTAACACGAGTAGAAGGACTGTGAACAATTAATCAAAAAGATATTAAGATGTTATGGAAATTTCATTTAATTTACAATTTCAGGTGACTATTACATAACTTATTAAGAAAATAATTTTCTTTCTCAAATGATGCCCCAGAGATTAAAAATAAGTCGTATTTCCTTCTTTTGAAAATCATTCGTATAGCTTACATGACCTTCGTTCTAAATTACTTTATCTTTTTGGATTATTGTATATGAAACAAAGTTAATAATTTGGCATTTCTAGCCGAATGTGTTTCACCAGGTTTTCTGAAAGTAAATACTGGTTATTAGATTTGTTAATATCGGCTGGCTGGCGGCAAGGCGTGAACAATTACTTTTGTTGGTAACACAATTTTCAAATGATTTCAGTCAAACGTTCACAAAAGGTTGTTACGAAGATGACCGATTTACAATTAGACAGCCGGGCTGTATAACAAAATTGTTGTTAGCACCATATACAAACTACACACCTGAAAATGTCTCAAAAATGCTACCTTTGACAATTTAGTTACTGGTGGTAATAATAATTTTTATATTGCATTTCACCTAAAAATGAAACGCGTTGCAACATCTGAGATGATTGAAATACTATGAGATGATTGAAATACTATTGAAAAACAAATCTAGTACTTAGTTAATAATGATATTTGAATCCTTCCAGAAAAGTTCCCTCGAGAATCAGTTCGTGTACACTATTATTACATAAATTTATTTTGCGAACAAGTGCATTAATATCTTTTTACAGAAAGCATACAAATCCTAACTAAACATTGCTAACACCTCTTTATATAGCTCAATTGTAAAGAAAAATGTACGGATTATTTGGTCATTATTGTCCTGTTTTAGGAAATATTTTGAATACACATCCCTTCAAATAATTGATGTTTCAAAGTATCACGAGGATCTTGAAAAAAAACCTTCACGAAGATTTTATACAGTGTAATGAAGCTATTACGTTTAACATACGTCATCTTGATCCTCAGGCATCAGATCATGAAAGAAATATTGATAGATGATTCATATCGGCATACAATTATACATTTGTCTTGTTATAGTATCAAATGATAGAAATAGGTGATAAAATGCTATGTAATAGTTATAGTATAGCGACGAGACTGTAATGTGAAATGTATCATGTCCTGGGGCGACATCGAAGGTGTTCTTGTCTACAGACAATGATCGGGCAGTAAGAACGAGAACACTTTCCGTAGAGGAAACCCACAATGCAGTTCAAAGTAATGATATTACCATAATTATAACAGTCGAGTTCGATATACTATAAATATTTTATGGCATAATGAATAGAAATAAGAATCTTTATTAGACATGAAATTTTAATATAATTATAAAATTTTATTCTTTAAATAAATTACCCCACTCGGGACCTCGTACATGTATGAATTTCTCTTGTTGTAAACTCAAAACGTGACAGCGATGTTCCCAATTGCTTTGATGACCACAGACAGAGAAAAAACGTTGCTGTAAAGGAGTTTTGAATCCGCTAGTATTACCCTAACAGTTGTTTGATTAGGATTTTTAATCACACGACTAAAGATAGTTTTAAAATTTATTCTAATGAAAACGATCGATTTAAAGAAAAAACTGTATACAGACTGTGCTTCATAGCATTAAATAACAGGGAAATTGGTTAAAACGTTTAAAAACGCGTATGCTAAACTGATATATATGTTATTTATAAGTTGAGTTTTGTCCTATAGTGATCAAAGGGGGAAAAATTAAATCCTCATTAAAAGTATACTAAATTTAATGAGTTAAAAAGAACAAAGAAAAAAATAAAAATCCTAACCACACGATAATTCTTCTTTGCCATATAAAGGGTTTGCATTGTGGTATACTTAACAATCATAGGTATAAACTAGATAAAACGCTCATTTACATTTATGTACAGATACACGAAAATGCAACATTACTCATTTTCTCTATCAATTAAATCAAATTGCAGCAACAAAACAAAATAACCAATTACTTATTTTGTCAGAGGCTGGCACGTACTTCATTATTTGTTTTAATTTGACAAGAAATAGCGAGGGTATTTGAAGGTTACACGAGTAAAAGGACTGTGAGCAATTATTCCAAAAGATACTAAGACGTTATTGAAATTTCAATTAATCTATAATTTACGGTGAATGATGTTGCATATTATTGTATAACTTATTAAGTAAATAATTTTCTATCGCAAATGATGCCACAGAGATTAAAAATAGGTCACATTTCCTTCTTTTGAAAATAATAGGTATAGTTAACATGACATCCGTTCTTAATTACTTTATCTATTTGGATTACAATGTATGAAACAAAGCTTACTAAATTTCTAACCAAAGATGTTTCACAAGGTTTTCTGAAAAATTCTTATTAGATTTGTTAATATCATCGGGTTGGCGACAAGACGTAAACAATTTCTGTTGTTGGTAACACACTTTTCAAATGATTTCAGCCAAAGCGTTCCAGCCCTTTTCACTCAAATCTGGCTAAGAATCGCACAAATAATCGGGTCCAATCTAACTTGATTTGCCCTTTTTAAATGTTATTGATTTGTGTAAGAATTCAAATTTTATGTTTTAAGACTTTTTAACCTCAGCGGAGCTCCTTTTATGGCAATGCATCCGCTCGTAAGACACACATTGAAACCAAGTTTTTGACAACTGAGAGGTTAAGATCATCACACATCATCCTGTTCCCCAGACAATGCCCCTGTGACTTTTTGTCGCTGCCAAAAACAAAAATTTTCACCTTCTGGAAAGAGATGCTATTCCGGGAAGTCATTTGGTCTATTTATCAGTGTCCGAATTGCAAAGAATGAAATGAGCTTTAAAAGGTTGATTGACCGATTGAAAAGTTATATTAAAAGAGAAGACGAGTATTTAGAAAAATAGAGCACGTTAAAATGACTAGGACTAGATGAAACGAATATAAACATTTTGTACTTCTTAAATTAAAACCAATTTATGTCATAAAAAGTAATTGTTGATGGATATATTTAGCTGTTTTACTTCAAACATTTTATAACTGAAAAGATCATAAAAAGGAATGTGATGTTTTTCAGAATGATATAAATTGCACTGCATCATACAACAAACATTTGAGAGAAGACGAGTATTTAGAAAAATAGAGCACGTTAAAATGACTAGGACTAGATGAAACGAATATAAACATTTTGTACTTCTTAAATTAAAACCAATTTATGTCATAAAAAGTAATTGTTGATGGATATATTTAGCTGTTTTACTTCAAACATTTTATAACTGAAAAGATCATAAAAAGGAATGTGATGTTTTTCAGAATGATATAAATTGCACTGCATCATACAACAAACATTTTGAGAGGAAGACGAGTATTTTTTAGAAAAATAGAGCACGTTTAAAAATGACTAGGAGTTTACTAGATGAAACGAATATAAACATTTTGTACTTCTTAAATTAAAACCAATTTATGTCATAAAAAGTAATTGTTGATGGATATATTTAGCTGTTTTACTTCAAACATTTTATAACTGAAAAGATCATAAAAAGGAATGTGATGTTTTTCAGAATGATATAAATTGCACTGCATCATACAACAAACATTTGAGCTTTCAGCACTGATCATGCTTTACGCCTATGTAAATATAATTTGAAAATGAAATTCATTTATAAAACAAATCAAAACATGCATAGAATATACCAATGTGTGTGTTTTCGCACGCGTGCGGTGTTCGTGCGTGCGTTCGTGACTTTGTGTGTTTTGATAATTAGTTATATTTTGTTACTCATATGATCAATCCGAATTAATGTTTTATTTCAGATATGATAATATAACAGTCTTTCTTTAGAATTATTCTCACAATAAAAATAAAAGATGAGGTTCGGTTCAGATAAATCTTTTATAGAAAATATTACCATAATTTTCAATATTCTGTTGGTTAGTTTTTTTTCTGCTGTATAAACAGTCTAAAAAGTCATTAATGAAATGAGATATGATTCTTTATTTTGTTTATAGTTTCTTACAAAATGTACTTTGAAGTGTACTCATGAAACATTTGATAGTATGAAAATTGAACGTGAACATGAAGTGAATCAATAGGTTGATGTATTTTAACACAGCTAATTTGTTTCATAACTGTATGCTTCAAAATTCAAAAAAAGCAAATGGATGACTAGTTCTGGCTTTCTCTACGTTCTAACTTCAACAATATTTTCTTGCAAATTATCCTGCGTTTAACTTAGTACGTTAAGATGCAATGTACTTTGGCATAACTATTTGGCATAACAACATTGTAGCCTGTTAAATACATCTGTTAGAAATACAGTGATTAAAAATAGAATTTATGATTATATAATTATAATAAGGATTTTATTAGGATGAAATAATAATAAAATAATAAAATTAAATATCATGGTTGAAATAATGATAAAATAATAAAAGTAAAGATCATGGTTAATGTATTTAATAGAGTTAGTCATTAAAGGAATTCACTGAAGAAACGAATCAGAAAAAGAGGTATATAAGGAGAAATTAATTATAAAAAAAAAAATATTTAATTTAATAGACATCAACACAGGTAAAAAAAAGGATAACCTTGAAGTAAAACACACCGTACCACTGCTTAAAGTTCCTACATTTCAGCTAATACTTTCATTTCTCAACTCCAATGTCTTTACCTTTAAAAATACTTTCATTACTTTTTTATATAGAGGTCGCTTAGCAAAAGCCCAATTAATTTCTAGTGATAAGAAATTTTTAAATAGCATTAAAGTTTGTAATCAATCACAGAATTTGTAACCTTTAGAATTTAGCTAGGCAAATTTAACATTTCTTTAAATCTTTAAAATACCTTTGTTTCAAAATACAGATGTAGCTGTTGTTAAGTGTTCTTAGATTATTGTATTTACATTGAATTTCTTACTTGCCTTTAATATCACAAGAACGCGAAAATTTTGTAATTTTTATAAGACATATTTCATGTGTATTGTGTATACAATAATTATATGATAAACCGCACACATATTAAATCTTTCTTTTTGATTTGTATGAACTGATTTGGGAATTTCCACAAATTGAACATGTAAATAATCAATCCATAAAAATATCAGGTACGCCTACAATTCTTTTGAAAAACGCTTTTGTAATTTCATATAGAGAAACGAATCGCAACGGCAAAAGTAAAAGAGCTGCAAGCTTGGTTAAATTCCCGTTTATGGACGGTAGTTGTACGGCTTCAGCAGAGTTAAACATTTAGATATGAAAATGATAAAAATTTGAATTTAAAACGTCTGTAGATGTGTTCATACGGCGGTTATTATGAACCTTTAAAATCCGATTTGTAAGTATGAAAAAAACATTAGATATAAGTTCATGAATCTCTTAGTTTTCAGATTTAAGTTTTTCCATCCCTTTTTCTCCATCTTCTTTTTTATCCAACTCATGGTCCAGAAAATCTTCGGCAAAATTTAAAATTTTGCGCAAAGCCAACAATGCCAGTATATTTATACTTTCGTCGAGCTTTTCTTCTTTGTGGTAGTTCTTTACGGGAAGAACATTTGCAGGGGGTAGTCCGAGGAGTTGCGAGGCCTTTTCGACGTGCTGCTCCACTTCCGGACTCTTAAAGACCAATGACACATCATCTCCGACTTCTTTACAGAGTTTATCTACCTTTGTAAGAAGAATAAGTTGTGGAATTTCTGAAACAGAAACAAAAGAATGTTTAACTATGATTATCACATCGAAGTTGAACTATCGGATTTAAAATCATATGACAAAATATAATCTGAACTTAAGGATGATGGTGTTTAAATTGTTTTGGCAACTAATCTGCAAATCATTAATTTCTGAACGTTTAGCTCTCCACCCGGAGATTACATGTACGTGCGACTGTACTAATAGCTATTATATACCAATTGATATTGTCTCTCAGGTTAGAACGCACATGCTAGGTCTCCTTCACAGACGACTCTTTCTAGAGAGAAGACACATTTTAGTAAAAAATAAATTGAATAAATAGATAAAGACATGAAATTTATTTCAAAAGAGATGTGAAGCATCTCTCATTCTTAGTATTTGAAATATGTTCATTGCTCTAAGATGTTGTTTAAGATATCAATAATAGAAATATAATAAAAATATTCAAAACCACCACCAAACATGCCTGCCGATAACCCTCGGGCAAATAGAATGAAAGTTACGTAAGAAAACAATGTTTTTGTCTTATCTCTAGAGAGTTAGCATTTGACCAAAGCCTCATAGAACTCAGCAAAATAGTAAATACCTTTCTGATTCATTATCCTTTGAAATGCTTTCATTTTTTCAATGATTTTTGGTGTCAAGATCTCCAATGTGCTGGCGTCCAAAACAAAAACAGCACAGTGTATGATGTCATTCGCGGTAGGACTTGCATTAAAACCAGGTGTTTTTGGTGTTATCTGTATTGTTGGATGAAACTGAAAACGGAAAATCAAACATAAAATATAAACAGAACATAATATATATGAAGGGCACTGCTGAAACATTAGTACTTTATATTTTGAAGTAATACAAGACATTGTCTTGATATCATGGCATAAAATTATTGTCAAATTAAATCACAGTTTGTTACTTTTGAAAATAAAAATTTATAATTTGGCAACCAAGTTTATTTTAAATGTAATTTTGCAAGAATTACTAAATAAGATTCTATATATTTATATACAAGTTTAAGTTGATTTTTTTGATACCTGATAATAATTTGGTATGTTACCATCCAGCAAATAGTTACACTCGAATACATCCAGACCCTGGGACTCTTCTAAACCACGTGTGTCACATAACCGGAAGTTCAGTGGCGCCCCTGACTTGACCTTTACCTTGTATGGGGTGAACTGAAGCAGAATTCTCTTGACATTTATTTGATTAATTAAATAAATATACTAAATATAAAAATATGGCAACCACTGTCAGCAAAACAGAATGCATTTTGATCGGGTCAAAGATATTTTCCGGTATAATGTTTGATTGTATCTCACTAACACATAGATGAGTGAGTAACAGTAAAATATCATCCTGAGGAAAATACTGTTACCCGAAGCTTTAGCAGAGGGTTACAGTATTTTTACGAGGAATGATATTTTTATGTAAGTCTCAAACCTATGTTATTATTTCATTACCTCGAACAAATACTTCATTCGGAAACAATTTATAGAGGATTTATATTTCAGATTTTTACTAAATATATATTTATTATATAGAGGATATTTGTTTAGTTCAGTGTAAGATAGGAATATATTTCACCGAGTGAGCACCAAAAGGTATATTTCACGAGTGGCGCAGCCACGAGTGAAATATGAACTTTTGGTGTTCACAAGGTGAAATATATTTCGATCTTACACTAAACTAAACAAATTTTCTTTTTATTATATGCAAAGAAACGTTTTAAAAAGACATTAAACCTAATACTGAATGAAAAGCGCGCCAAATAATAATACAACGTGACGTCATTTACAACGTCACGTCATTAAGTTGGTACCCAGTACTGTGCACGCTGGTATATCAGTGAAACAACGTAAGGGGCTTAAATTCAAAACAGTGAAATTATCAAAGTGGTAATTTCACTGTTTTAAACAGTGAGATTACCAGTTTTATATCACTGATATATTTCTATAAACCACCGAAAAGCATGTAATAAACTATTGAATTTACTGTTACACTTCAATTAACAGTAAGATATCATTCTCACATTGGTCTTTTGGAAATAAACAACTCAAAAATAGTGAAGAGTAATAATAAAGAATGGTGTATGTGGATAATATATAAATATGATCTTGATTTACTACACATATAGTGATTGGTGTATTTATGTTTAAAAATGAATTTCGACAATTTGTGCTCAAAGTCTGGATATGAAAATTAATAATTGTATGTGAAAGTGTTTGATAATACACATACCTTAAGATATGATCTAACCAAACACCTACGTTGAAATTCATACCATAACAGTCATTCTGTATGCGATACGTACAGTTATCGGGTTTTAAGGTTTTCACTTTCTTTATGGTTACATCAAGAAAGAATGATACTTTGTTTTTTCAAAGCGCTACATTTACTTATTAATGCATTTGTCTAACCATTAAGTATAGACGACTTCGTTAAAAATTCTTGGTCCAAATATTTTCAATACTCACAGCAGTCGTAAGGCTTTGTTCTGCGCTACCACTACGCGCTTTCTGTGTAATTCGACCTCGAAATATCGAATTGATAGTGTTGAAAAAACTCGACTTTCCTGCACCAACTGGACCAATTATCAAAATCCGGGCATCTGTCACTTTCAAATCAGGTATTGGTTTGAATGATACAATATCCTCCGTAAGTTCATTTAAAAACTGAAAGAAAACCAAACGTGTTGTCGAAACAGTATGATACCTACACAAATAATAAAGTACAAGAAACGGTTTCGAGATATCTCAAATCATGCTTTACAATATTTTTGTAAGCAGTTTATCAATTTTGCCAAATGAAATGATGTATATTTTAGAAATAAGTAGATTTAATTTTTCAAAAAAGTAAACTTCTTCATAAGTTAATCGATCATGGATTAACTATTTGCTTTGTTTAATCGTTCTTTAGTAAATCAAAGAAACCCTCCAATCAATACGGCAAGGTAGACCACAACAGTATATTTTTACTCATCTCTTTCTATATAAGTTTCAAATACGAATCATCGCGAGTACGCACAATATTGCCTGATAGAAGCCCTTAATATAAAACTTGTTGTTTTGAATACACACATGACCTCACCAGCCATATAAACAGATTAAGAAGCTTATAATTTAAAATTACCTGTTCATTCCAGCTTTCAGTCTTACGCCATGGTTTCAAGTTCTCCTGCTTGATAGGTTTTGACCTCTTCCCATCTTGATAAGATATGTTTTATTATGTTTTACGGAAACTGAAGATTTTTTTCAACTTAACATACTAACGACGTATGATATAATAATAGACATCATCAAAATCACCATTAGCATGCTAACACCATCGTATGGATAGTTAAACCTTAGTATTTTTAATTAGTTATGAATTTTAATGGAGTTTAGGCGAATATCCGTGAATAGTGAATAAGGAATGTTATCAATTTAGTGTCTAGTATTTGTTATTAGTCATATTTTAAGAAAAGGGACAGTTTGAAAAATAATATGTACAGAAACAATTGATATATGAGAAATCGAAATTGTTTAAAATTTGAATATACCTAGCTACCTGTAATTTCTGTTTTGCAAGGTATCAACAATTTGCATGTATAAAAAAAGATAAAACACAGCTTACCCTCGACTTTATAAACCTCTAACTCGGTGACGTTCTTGTTACCATTATTAATCTGGTTTGCAGTAACACCTTGATTGTCGTAGGAATGCCCAATGTCCATTTGACCATTGAGAACAAAGAAGGTGCCTGAGCTATATACTGTGTTTTGAAAGGTAAATAGGTCATAACCATTAACATAACCAAAAAGTGGACCGTAAGATGAACCACAGAATAGAGCATGGTTAGAATTTCCAGATTTTATCGGAAATTTAGTACGTTTATCATTCCCATTAAATCGTAACTGGTACATGAAAGCAGAAGTGTCGTTAGTCCAGTCGCCACTACTGTTCCAGCTTTCTTGTACATAACCACCATACACCGATCCTTGTGGGTTATACAACACTGTGACTGTAGGTCCCTGATTGTCACATTTCTGGTGGAACGTTGTAGAGACGCACCCATCTCTTGTAATGGCGTAGAGAAGTTTAAATGTTTTAGGACCTGTACCTATCCATTGCTCCAGCTGGTCCATATCATTATCTGTTAACTTCCCGTCCATTTTGGTACAATATGTAGACTGAAATGAGCGTTCTGTTAATTAATTACCACAAGTCATTTATTTTATATTATCAAAATTTGATTTGAATTCTTTTGAAACTATTATGATTTAAAAGGTTAGTGTAAAGATGGCAACAATGTCAACAGCAACGTCATTCAAATTATTGTTTAGTTAACAGCATATATACCTCTTCATTTTACTGTATTTGTTTACAATTGTTAGTCTTCTGATAATGATACCGTAATTTTAAAGACGTTTTCGGTAGTTTTCTGTGCGCATCGTTATGCGCTTCCAAGAAAGATAATCACGGATAATTACTCTTCAAATGAAGGTCAAGTTAAATAGTACTCGGATAAGTGTTTAAATTTCGGCTATAAGCAAATAATGAGTAAATAATACAGAATAGATATTTCTAAATGTTCAAAAGGAGATCGGTTCAAAAGAATAAGAGGTCGTTTAGACAACATCACATAAAGGATTTCTCCAAGCATTAGTACGACAGCATTGATGATAATTCTGCGCGCGTTACCCCACCCACTTGTGGTATAGTGACGAACGTGCGTCGCGACTTGATTACTGGCAGACAACTGGGCAAAGAAGTTTAAAATGATATATTTTAAAAGTGTTGAATAAAAAAACAAAATAAATATCTAAGAAATGTTCCGAATTTCATTATTTTCTTTGTAAATTTCTGAATACTTGCTTTCTGTTCGGGTATGTTAGTCGAGTGAAAAAAATAATATGGCCCTAGATATGTTTTAAAAAGATATTCAGTATCATTTACTTAATATAACATCAAAAGAAAAAGATTTTTTTATTACAACATGTTTTTGTTGTATATTTGACAATACATTTAGTATAACACTGATATTTCTTAAGAAAGGGTTGTAATTTTGACAGTTGGCATATGCGGTAACCATGGAAACTGCCCGTTTACAAAAAACTAACACGTCAACATATATATTTTATTTCTTTTTTTGAATCCACCATCAAATGTTACTTGATATATCAATAATGTAGAAAATTCTATAAAAGAAATTTCTTGATAGCTTTAATTTTTTACAGAATTCATGTTTATTTTTCTCATTTTTTGTTTAGTTAAAAAGCATGAAAACTTATTTTTTTAAAGAAATATGTTCCAATTATCGTTTGTTTTATACAGAACCCTAAGATAAAGCAAGCTTTGTATAAAATTATGTTTATTGTGAGTGTACTCGTAATAAGCTATTTTATACATTATTATAACACAGTTTGGCTATTTTGACAATTTTGAGATATACGGTTACCATAGAAACTGCCATTTTTCAAAAAATCCAACACGCCAACATAATTATATTTTTCTTTTTCTTTTTGGATTTGTCATTAAATTTTACACAACATACAAAAAAATAGAAAATCCTATGAAACACTTTTTTCAATATCTCTAATTATTCTCAGAATTCATGTAATTTTTCTCATTTTTTGTTCGGTTGAGGAACATGGAGAACTCATGTTTTAAAGAAATATGTTCAGATTATTATTTGTTTCATACAGAATCATTAGATAAGATTGTCTTTGCATAAAACAATGCTCGTTGTGTGTTTTAAGCTATCTTATACATTTTCTATTCGTTATAACACAGTTAGGCTATTTTGACAGTTTTTAGATATACGGTTACCACGGAAACTGCCATTTTACAAGAAATCCAACTCGTCAACATATATTTTTCTTTTTATTTTTAAATTCGTCATTAAATTTTACTCATCATACAAAATTTTTAGAAAATTCTATGAAAGGATTAATTTTTCATAAAACTGTAGAAAATGTCTTTAAGTCGAAGAAGTCTCTTTTTACTTAACGTCATTAATTAAGTAACGAAATTGCATTAAAGTTATATTACGCATTTTCTCAGATATTTTTGGTTCTGTTCAAGGTTACATAATGTGCATTTTACGTACATACACCGATCTACGGAAGCGGGCTCGACAAAAATGAGCATTATGTTACTTCATTTATAGTTATTTTAAAAAACAAAAACAGAATTATGTCGATAAGCTTGGAAAAAGCAAATTTGATTTAACCAAAGTGTTTCAGAAAATATAACAGCAGAATTTAATAGTTTTAATCACAGGATAGCAACGGGTTTAGCTATTAGCCCCTAAAAATGATAAACATTTTATTTCTTAACAATTTATTTTCTTTATATACTGTTACAGTTTCAAAAATGTATTCATTGACCATATAACTGAACCGACTTTAACTTCTTTTGCACAATTTTAATTTAATACAGTTTTTAGTGAATTGAAGTCAAAACACCACTTCATTTACACTTGGCAACTTTTATGACAAATTATCACACATCCAGTGCTACATTCCTAAGGTGATTAGTATTGTCCAAATGGTTTATTGTCCCTTTAAGATAACCGAATTTGAGCTACACGCATCTGGTACGTCAGTTGTCATCGACTATAACTGCTGTTTTTAGATAAAACTTATCATAAAAATGAATTGTCAGTCATATTTTCTACTTTCGCTTTTAAACGATTCAATATCTTCTTCGATTATTTATATACTTTGTTATTTGAACGAAGATAATAATTTAAACACAGATAAAATTAAAATTAATATACATGTACATGACTATGAACTGTAAAAATGGTACAAATATAATTTATGCAAATAAAAAGTACAAACCACTTAGTCTGCTTTATCTCCTACAAATAAATGATCACTGTACATAATATGTGCAACGTAAACTATTTTAAATGTGTGATTATTGTAAGGGTTCTGTACTTACATAAATTAATACAATTATGCAAAATTCAATAATACTACAATGTCTCTCCATGTCTCTGCCCAACGTTTGTAATTAAAAGAATCGGCAAAAGAAGACGAACATACTGTAAGAAAAAGTGGGTGTATATTATACTTTTTAGATAGTAAAACAGGGCCGAAAGTTTGGCCCTTTAAACACTGAATTGTACTCAAACTAAAGGCTGTTGTACTCTTGTTCAGCTATATTGTGTGATTGTATCGTCAATATTGTTGTCTCTATAAAACTGTAGCCAAAACAAAATGTCCTCAATTCATTTCATCACCGCCCGGTAAAAATTTGTTACAAATTAAAAATGCGTCCTTGAACAAAACCGGAGTATCACATTCTCAAGAATGAATTTTTGTTTGTTTCGTTTCAATTTAATTAAAATATTTCATCGGTAATGAAGTCAGTAATTTCGTCTGTTTTAAATCAAGAGTCTGGGTATGAATTGATCGATGGTCAGTATCGAATACTTATTTATTGACCTAATTGCAGAACGTTAATATTTTCATTTTCCAAAAATCGCGTATTTCTATAAATAGATACGACATAATTATGGAAGGTCACCTGTGCCAAAATAATAGTGTTAATTGTAGTTTTAAAATCATTTCATGTACATGCGTTTATTCAACTATTTTAGAAATTAATTGATGTCCCAAATCTTCAAAATTCTTACATATAACAACTTTGGCAACTCAAACAGAAAGATACGTAAGAAAGGGTAATTATTTCACTCAAAATTAAATCTTAAATCGTTTTTCTTTTGTGCGATTCTTATCCTGATTAAGCGTTTTTCGTTTTTAGATTATTTTGTACAAAATTGAAGATTATTTTTGAAAAAAGTAATTTAAATATGTTATTTCACCATATAAATCTCGAAAAAAGATTTGTTTTATAATAACATCAGACAATGCTGCTCTCTTGCTCGGATATAGTCCGTGAAATTGTGAAGAAAGTTTGCTGATTGTTATGTTCCTTATAAGCTTTAATCATTCGTAGCGGACAATTATAAAACATGGCGCCTTTCCAATATTTTTTAAAATAAAAGTGAAAAAAACGCAGTGCTTCCTTCTTATTTCTTTATTCATTAACTGATTAAAAAATCGTTCGAAAGAAATATTTTTTTCACAAACTTTCTATGTATCTCTTCAAATAGAAATATTTTTTTTTCAAAGTTTATCTCTTTTTTTCATACGCAAAGCACACTATGAACTTGTTAAGGAAAAAACATTTCCTACCCCTTTAGATATAGATAGCAAAAATAAAATAAAAAAGAGTAAACATAATTTGAGTTACCCAATCTCTGTAAGTAACTGGGTAGAAATATTTAGTGATGAAAAAATTAGTGCACTAATTATGCATTTTAACGCCAAAATGATTGTGATCGATAATCATAGATTTCGTCGTCTTTTTCTATATTTTTTTCTGAAGTATGATTTTATTTTGATATATCCAGTAATGCAAATAAAATAATAAAGCAGTTGATAAGCTGATTTAGTTAACCATATATAATGTGGTATAATTTAATTAAATTACAACACTGGGTGAAATATTGTTATAAGGAACTGTCCTTAATCCAAGAATTCAATGCAATTATCAGGTATGCTCGAATGATTATTAGTACAAGAAAATAGTACATTGTAGATGGTTTTTCTACGATTCAATTATTGTTGCGCCTAACAATTATTTAAACATTTACAATATGTAGATGGTTTATCTTTGTAGATGTTGTTTACACAACATAACGCATGACCTCTCTGGTACCAAACATATCGGTAATACCGTAATTTCCACTTTTGATTACGTAGAAGACTCTATGATGGGCAGTTGGCCAGAATTGACTTAATTTCCGTCTTATGTCTTTCTTTGTCTGGTCCTTGTTGGTGATATCCGTGTGTCTCTGTCTTCCTTAAAGACATTGACAATGTTTTGGTCTTTTGGTTTTACAGTCGAACTTCGTTCGCTCGAACTCGGAGGGCCTGTGCAAATTTGTTCGAGAGATCGGTAGTTCGAGCCAACCGAGGTTGAACTATTATTACATAGAACAAAGGCCTCAAGGTTTTCAAACTTACATCGGTCAAATGATAAATACGTCAATATAATTGTTTGCTAGTACATTCATTTGTTGAATACGTCCTAGTAAGAATTATTATCCTATTGAAAACAGATTTAACGGTCACTGTGTTAATCTATATTCATGCATATTGTAATTGGTTGGGTTCAATTGGGC